ATGCGAGAGTATAAAATGTTCGGTGACACCCAAACTTAGCCCTTCCTTACTTGTTTTTGTTTAGTATTGTTTGGCATCAAGAAAAGAGTTACGCCTAAACAACGTTTATAAATCGTTTAATTTTATTACGACTAATTCAAGTTTTGTAAAGAATGTGTTTCGTGCGCTTCGCTCAACTTATGATGAATATAATCGGCCTACTGAGCGTACTATTCACAGTACCATCACGCTGCTTGAGACATAGCATTCATTATTGGATAATATTCGACCGAATAGACCACATAGCACACAGCATATAGCAGCAGTAGCTGAGAGTGTACACAAAAACCGTGAAGAGTCAACGTTCACAGCAACTCGGACTGACGTATGAAATGACTAGACGAATTTTAAGTCGAGATCCTTACTTGAAAGTATACAAAATACAGCTTGTGTAAGAACTGAAGCCGCTCGACCTTCCCAAGCGACATTGCTTCTTTCTATGGGCTCTTGAAAAGTTCCATTTCTGGCTCAATGGGAAACGAAAAGCAACCTAAAGAGATTCAAGAGCAGCTATTTCCGGTGGGCCAGTAGAATAATCAGTCCACTTTTCTTCAAAAATTATACTGGTATGAATGCAACCGTTAATGGCGGCCGTTATCGAAAACTTCATGGCAAACTCAAAAACCCTTCTTCAGCGCACAAATATTTAAAAAGGACCTTGCTTTGACTAGAATATGTTGACAGTTACTTTCTGATTAAATATAAAATAATATCACTTTCAATTCAATTAGAGAATAAAAGCTACGCAACAATTTGAGATGCAAGCAAGAGAGAGAACTAAAACACATAAATCTGCAAGCAAGCCGCACGTCACCTGTCACTTGTGGCATATGCAACACACACGCGCATAAATATTTTATGTCGTTTAATATGTCGGGCTTTTTATGCAAATGTAGTTGTGCACTTAACAGTTATGTGTGTGTATGTATGGGCGAGCATAAGTTTGGCGGTTAGCAAGTTGGTGAGTTGGCACAAAAAATGCATGCAACGCATAATTAAAATTAATTAAAATTCACAACTGCCACTGCAACATTTTGTGGCACATTAAAAGCGATGTGCGCTGCTACCTACAACGGCAGCGAAGCGTTAGTATATATATATAATATAATAATATATATAAATATGTATATATGTATATATATTTTTCGATTTCTTTCGTTGAAATTGCAGCGAAGGCTTTGCGTCAGCGGCAACAAGCGAAAAGTGCCACAGCAAGATTGTAATTATGTGCAACGCGCCAGCAGCGCAAGGCTGCCGTGCGGTGTGTGGTGGAAGGCGGGTGGGAAGGCTGCCTAACTTTCACTATACTTTACATTCGTGCATTTGCTACACCATTTATACTACTTTCAGGAAGTTGCAACCTTTTCATGGCTGCAGCAACTATGTCAGCCGTGTGGATTTCGCTTATGGCGTTCGGTTTTTTTTCTTTGAATAAATATTTCTCATGCACATTTTTTACTTTTGCTGTAGTACAAAATGAAGTTATGACAAGTTGGTAATTATGTTAAAGTACAAAAGTTGCGCCAGCGAGTTGACGCTTCTATGCCTTTGTGCCTTGATGCACTTTTTACGCGCTGCCCTTTAGACCTTGGCGCGGCGGCGCAGCGCGCTAATGACAGTCGCAGCTTACAATAGCGGCAGTGGTGTTAGTGAGAGCTAATGAAATTCTTTGCATAAATCAAAGTAGCGAAGCCAAAGCAATGCGGAAATCTAGTTGGCTAAGTTTTAATGAGTTTCTTGTCAATTATACAAAGATATGAAATTAATTACAACGCGGCGAGCAAACAAAGCGCACTCGACAATAATTGCGCGCTGTAAATATTGGAAATGCCTCGAAGCGTAACAACTAACGGCATTGCTGTGTGCTAACTTCATACTCAAGGATATTGATGGCGAGGATATTGATGGCTTTTGAAGCCTGTCCGTTTGCTATGCAACAGTGTGAATGCTTATGCTCGAACCAAAAGTCAAAAAGTCAATGGGGAAACAGTAAAAATTGAAAAATTGCTTGCAGCATAAACATCAGCAGTTGTAGCATATTTTGCGGCGCCAATGCGCACACACAAACACAGACATATACATATATAGTACAAACACAGTCATATAAACACATTCATACAAGCACCCAAATATGAACATCAAAGTGCTAGCTACGCGCCTCTCCACCACCACCACCCGCAGTGTTAGCAACTGCTACTCAATTTCAAAAATTGCCAAATGGCTGGCAACTTAACACAATGTTGGCCCCGAAATGCCAAGCAATGAACAATCAATTGCTTCGTACCGATCAGCGCCGCAGCCAGACAAAAGGCAGCCAACGTTACCGACGAAGACTCAACGTGCAAACGAGGCAATCAAATTGACGGTGGAGAGCGGCAGGAAAACTGCTACAACTCCACACACACACATATATATATACATATACATATATATATATATATATATATATATACCTACACAATCGCATGCCCACGTGCGCTGTAATGTTACAAGGACGTGTTGTTTGCTTTGCGCATATTTATTGGTAGGATTGTGCGGTAAAGAGCCGACGACGCCGTCGTATTCTACCGCTCGGTTTGCTTGCATGAGCGTGTGCTGTTGCAATTGCCAATAAAACCTGTCTATGACTGTAGCCGTTTAAGTGGTGAGGGCCGCACTTTTACAATAACAACAAGAAATGAAAGCTTTTACATGTGTTTACATGTGTGTTGATGTATGTGTGTGTGGCTGTAAATTAAAGCGTGCAGGAGGAGCTGACAGCATGCAAGACATATGCGACATTCCGTAGACATTCGAGCACACACATACATATATGCAATCGACGGAGCAAACATACGTTGCCAGAAACAACAACGATTGACAGCATAACAACAACTACAATAATGATACATGCCAAGCAAAAAACAACAACAATAGTGGTGAAAACAACTACAAAAATGATGCAAACAAAAACAACAATAACAGCAACAACAATGGTGAAAGCAATAACAACAACAACAATGATGCAAACAAAAACAACAATAACAGCAACAATAGTGGTGAAAACAAAAACTGCAATAACAGCAGCAATTACAACAAATATAACAACAACACAACTAGAGCGGTGGAAATACACGACAATAGTGTTAGCAATTTTTGTGGCTTTTTGTTCGTGTTGACCTGCGTTTGTTTTGGTTTCCATTGTTGCAAGCAACAATAACAAAACGCAATTTCGTTGTGTATGCTCGTCCCAGCAACCATTGTCAACTGCTGCAGCAACTAAGATAATTGTTGACCAAACCAAAGAAAAGCAAAAAATCAAGAGACACGGTGTCCCGAACAACTTCAAAACTAGACATAATGAGATCGATAATACCGAAACTCGGTACTTAAAAACAATTTTGTTGTTTTTTATTGAAAGTTGTGTATGTAAAAATG